AGTTTTGATGTTGCAACTAGGTAGAGAAGAGCAATCATTTCTGATCAAAGCAAAACAAACCCGATCGAAAAACGTTTTGTTTTGATGAAGTTATGAGACTTTTACTGAAAGCACCACCATATGGACCAGGTTCACGGTTGATTTTTCTTGTTTATGAAGCACATTTCTAAGCCTATAACTTTCTTACTAGATGAGCTAACAGGGTCAATCAAAAGTCACCTTGTAGAGCGCTTTTTACTGCATCGTTTTTTCATAGAGACAAATTTATAACCACTTGTTTCACTATAGAAAAATTTATTATTCAAATCGGGTCAGGACTTCTGGGCACTCTTTATATTGCTAGTACATCAAACATATATGAACAAATTATTGATAACTATAAAATAATTTTATAGTTATCAATAATTTTTTCTTATATAAATAATTTTACAAGAACCAGTATCACTTTAAATTAGATTGTTATCGACTGAATTTAGTTTAATAGTTAAATCTTGCTACATATTCTTTTTTTTAAACTTTATACTTTAGGATAACTTTGGATACAATTGACATGGTCAGATTTTATGAACGATGTTTATGCTTTTTTTTTGTAGATGATAGCGAAAGAGTACAAACCAAATTATAAACGCTTGAGTGTGACTGAATTACTAATGTTGCGCGACAAGCATTTAAAAATGTTGAATAACAAGTAATGAAAAACAATTGTGTCTATAAACACTTTATAAATTCTATATTTGATTTTTTCTTCAGATATATCATAGAGAAACTGCCCGATAAAGGTGAAAAAATACGGAATTCAATTAATGAAATTGACCAATATTTAGCAGATCCACCGTTGTCATCACCAATGGATACGACAACAACAGTTCTAAATCAATTTCAAAATTTGAATATTTCATTAGTAAATGATGAGAGAGAAATGCAAAATGAGAGAATATTAAATGATTTATCTGTAAAATTATCTCAAGAATTTCGAAATAATACTCAAAAATCTGATAACACGAAACATTCCGGTTCAAATGAACTTAAGAAAGAGTCAGTCAAGTATTCAGACGAACATTTAGAACAAGTTAAACAATGTGTCAAAGCAAAATTAGCGAATCAAATAGACGAGAGAAACAATATAAAAACAAAATTAATTAGTTTAGAAGAATTGATAAGGATTAAAAATGAACAAGATAAACAAGCTGAAGTAAATAGGCAACGATTGATAATCACTATTATCCTTGTCAAAACTCGAGATCAACATAACCTTTTTGAATAACTTCTAACAAAGACAGATAGAGAGTTGCGGTTTTCGCCATTCGAGAGATATTGTTTGGTTAGCAAAATGAATTTCAAAATCGTTTTTGAAAGCAGGTTTT